CCTCTCGAATCTCCCTTGTCAGACCTCAAATAGCATCTTTTGATGCCTTAATTCCTTCATAAAACTTAAGTTCCTTTAAGGTGGGGATTGTCTTATCTAAACTTTATCTTCCCCCAACTAGCACCTCTACCAGTTTGTTTGATGGCACAAAGGCTTAACACTGGTTGAATGTACTAATGTACAGAAAATTACCAATGTGAACTAAAATGGAAATTTGCTTTAAATTCTAAGAAGTCAAAATTGACTTTTCCTTAGGGAGCAAAAAGCCTTAATATTTAATCTTACTTTGCACTTCATAGGCTAGACCTCACAGCGTAACAGAAAAAATGAGCCAGAACAAAAAAACCTGTTATAGCCCAATCCTAACATTGGCTCAGGCATAATGACCTCTACAAGATGAGGATAATATCCACTTTGTCCTATTCACAGGGCAATTGCAAAAATCAAAAGAAAATGTCAATATTTTGTTGATTGGAATGTAAAGCAACTCAGTTGTTTTTAAAATTCTAATTGAAAATTTTACGAGAATTATATATGAAGATTTATACTTAACATGTTCCAATTGTGTTCATCAACTTGGGTTAAAAATTTTTGTATTGTTACGGTATGGCATACTTGCCAGAAACCCATATAATACAGGGAAGATGCAGATTAAATGTTGATTCTACCAACACCACTCCCAAAAGTTAAATCTGCCCAATTTTTAAAACGGGAGTGGAATTAAGAAAGGTCTTGTACAACAACAATAAAGCACCTTGGTCTGATTTACGCCAACTGTCCTGCAACCAGATGGCACTAGTAATCAACTTGGGAGTAACATCATAAAAAAACATTACACTACCTAAATTGGAAGAAAATTCAGTAAACTGGCTTAGAAATATAATAGCTAAGTAAAGGTTGTTGCTAAAATATGAATTCTAAGCCCTGTAACAAGTCACAAACTGATTTAACAATACACTGCCTTCCATGGTATGTCCAATAACTTTTACAAGATAAAGGCCTTTTGTGGTTATGTGCTATGAGCCTTCTAAAAAATTTATCTAATTTAATGTCACCCAACTTACAGCCTTACATACTGTACTTTTAACATAAGGCATCTTTAAAATCCCCAGATTTCCTAGTAAATCGTAACTGCTCTTTTCTGAATTACTTAAGTTTTACCATGTTATGTTCATGGCCTTAGACACCAAAAATCTGTCATGATTATAAAATATGAAACATGGCCAAAAGCTGTTCAAGCTAAAACTCTCTTCCATCTAATTTGTTCATGTGGTTACAGGAATGAAGGCAGTATTTGAAAATGTATTGGAAAGATAAAATAGACAAAACCTGTGATTACAAAACATAAAGGTTGCCAAAGCATATCAATTTGGTACTCCCAACTGCCTTTAAAAAACAGAAAAAAGAAAAAAATAGCAAGCTCTGGTTTCTCCAAAGACAAGATTAGGGCTACCAAGTACCTATTACAAAGATATTGCCATTTTTCACAGCTCACAACGGCAACCTTTCAAGCTTTTTTCTACCATAAACCAAGGTTGAAAGATCAGCACCTGATATAGGGATTGCAATTTCATTTGCACAATGTGAGAAAAACACTCCTTGTGGTTGAGAACATGCCTGTAAATTCTTTGAAAGCACTGGATTGAGCTTTATCTCAAGGGAAAAGCAAGGCCCAAAACACTAAATAAAAATTGCATGACATCAAGGGAGAATACTTGGGTATAGAATGGGGTTGTCTTCAATTTGCAGACCATGTCCAGACCCATACCTCATCTAAACAGTAACCATTATCACAAAGCCATAATTTAGGATTTTGCCAATTATCTTTAAAATTATTAGGGTGCTAGCAAACTGTTACCAAAAATGACTTGATCATTGCATTTCTATTTTTCTCTCACAGTATACTATATGACAAACTTCAATGGCCCAATTGATGGCTCCACTTGTACAGAAAATGACCTGTACCTCCAAGCATTCCTTGAAATATACCACAATAGATAACTTATGGTCTAATGATGACTATTCAGTAGAACAGGTTAACAGTCAATCTGCCTTACAAATATAAGTCCTTTAGTGATGGACCTGTTCAAATGGCCAGGGGCTATTACTGGGCTTAACTATAAACTAGGTGAAAAAAAAAATCTGTGTATCTGTCCAATTCCTTGTGAATATGTATTCATACTTCTCTAATGCTTTAACTTATAAATTATATCCTGTGTGAACTATAAGCCTTTAGTGGTAAAGCTACAAACAGGAACAGTAGAAAAATAATAGGGTAATGCTAGAGTGCTTGGTACCACCTGTGCAAAATACATTTCATCTGGGTTTCTGTGTTCGTCTTTCACTTTCCCAAATTTCAGCAACACCCACCACCCACCCCCACCCCCACCATGCCCAGGGCAGAGGCATAAGCCATAACAAGCTGGTTCTTCTGATGAGACTTCAATCCACTTCAGAATTAACCATGATGTAGAAATTATGTGGGGAACTCAATCCAGTGACTTTTCCAGTAGATGTTAATATTTCCATCTTAAATGATCTTTTAAAAAATTAAGTTGTTAAGTAAAAAATGGGAGTGAGGGGAAAGCAGAAAAATATTCTTCCTCTGACTTCTTGATGAGTTCCCCAAGTAGATTAGACTGGTTAGATAAATGTAGGTCACTAGAGATTGTAAGTCACTTGCTTTGGTATTGGAGGGTCTTTCCTTAAGAGAAAAGAGATTCATTAATAAATGGCACTGAAAAAAGAGAACAAAGGTAAAACAAGAATATCACTAACCTCAAAAGAAGCAGATATGTTGTTCCCAATAAAAACCACAGTACATTTATAGCAAGTGTGCAAATACTGTCAAATTTAGCCTTCCCCCTACATCCTTTGTTTTCTAATGCCTACCACATGAAAGCTAATGTACCCAAAGTGGATAAAGCAGTAAGATGTTTAATATTTCTACTTCCTTTTTTAAAGTGAAGAATATCTTTACTTTTCTTTGGAATTATTTGTTAACAGTACCTAAGAGTGAAAAAAAATGTCCTTCCAAACAACTTTTTGCATGTGTCTCTGTTAGAACAGAAAGTAGATAATTTACATAGAGGCTATTCATTCAAGGGGGGGAAATAATGAGATGGAGGAGGGGGGAACTTTATATCACTGCTTCATACCAAATGGTTTTGCTTTCTTCATCTGAAGTGCATCTGCAATGCAAAGTTCTTAGGAAAATAACAAAATGATAAAAACAAGATAATCCAATCTCAATTATTAAAAAATGAACAAAAACGTACCTTAGGAAAGTTGAAAAAAAAAAAAAGTTTGGTTGGGCAATCTGGTTGGATTTGGCTTGTTAAAAGGAAGGAACAGATTTAGAAATAAGCTTGCTTGTTTAGATTAAACAATCTCTTTTATCATTTCATTATGTAGCAGAAATTCATTAAATTAATTTTTTAAAAGATCCATTACCATAAAGTATACCAGGAAATTACATACATTAAATAATCTTTCAGACATAGACATCATTGTCGACCTCAACACAAATCCTAAGATGAACACCAATTATGAAAATGGCACCACCTTCAGCACTATCTTAAGGACAAAATAGCAGCTTTCATCCTTTGGTTATTTTTATGAACTTCTAACAAAGCTACAAAAAACTTATCTCTACACCAAAAATAAATAATATGAAAGATTCCATAACCAAGGCAAAGAAAAAAATTTCAGGACATCAATCTCCCCAATCCAAACGCTATGTAGTTTTCAGGAAAGATAAGCACTGTGATTTAAAGAGAAAAGAAAAAGCAACACACCCACAATAATAAAGATAGTCTTTACCAATGTCTGTGTCAAGAAAGCAAGTCTAGAGATTGCAACCCTTTACATGGGATCTGTTCCACAGGGAAGATTATTTTTTAAAATATTTTTAAGTAGTCACATAAGATCAGGATAGTATACAAGTTTTCTCTACAACATAACATTTAAGGCTGGACAAAGAATTAGATAGGTTTTTTTTTTTAACATTAGTGCAAGTTTTATTCAAGGGGTTCAACTTTAAGAATAAGTCTAACAAATGAAAAATTCACTAGTAATCCACCCTACAAGAAACGGTGGAACTGAATGGAAATCATTTATCATGTGAAAATAAAATCCACTTTCCAAGCAATTTTGAATAAAGCTACACTCAGTTCTACCAGAGGCATTCCTGTACCTTTGGCTGATGGACAAAGCATTGTGAATTTTCTCCAGAAACTTGTGAGTTGATGACGAAATTTCTATTTTTAAAATAAGTTGTCTGACACAAACTCATTGGAAGAAGTTTCTAGGAACTGCAATCCACATCAAGTATTTTTCATGCTAAAACTGCAGTAGTTTTGACAGTAAGCATCTTATTAAATTATAATTAGGTTTGCAGATGTCAACCTGAATTCTGATCAATTTCACCATAATTTGGGTAGTACTTACTATCATCACTTCATTAAATACACAATAGTCAGACTAATGTTCTTAAAGGCTTAAGTTTTAAAATTCTAGAACATTTTAAAAGGGATGACTCTGAAAACGGCTTTGAAAAAAATAAAAAGAATAGTTAAGTGACAATTTTAAATCTTCCTTTAATAATATTAAGCCAAAGAATCTGAGAGCCCTTCCCCAAAATAAATGTAGCTTTAAAAATAAAATTACCTGTTATAATATATATCATTAATATGCTATATTTCATAATTCTGCTAGCCTGTTTCTGGTAATAAAAGATCAGCCTAGGATTGTTCAATCACTGGAAATATCTTAATGGTAGTAACATGAATTATGTCAGAAAAATCAATCTTTCTTGGAGTCACAAGACATTCAACCATTTGCTACCTTTTAACCAATTTTTTGGAAGTTATTGCTTTAATGGCAACTTCTGTATTTGACAAAAAAAAAAAAAACACCTCTCATTAAGTCAAATAGGAGTTACAAAGTTTATACAGATGATAGACTCACAGAGGCTATTAAAGTTGACCCATACACCCATGTGGAGTGCAGTTGATGGGTGGGGCTTTTTGCTTTTTTTTTTTTTATTCCAAAACTATTTTCCCTCCTTTATAGACCATTCTTTCAGATGGCATTTAAGCAGCTTAATTGCATCATCATAAAACAAATCACTTGTCTCAACAAACCAAAACATAAAAATATACCAATAAGGGACAAACTTTTCACAGATAACCATAAATAAAAGTGCAATAAGTGTTCAAGTAGGGCATCATGTAGTTTAGGCAAGCCATATGTGAACATTTGGCATAGGTCATCTTTTAAAGGCTCTCCGAGGGTCCCTCCCATTACTTATTGTGGTCACAACTGGCTGAACATTAGCTGTTGCTGGTAGCTGTGGGTTTACAGGTCCTCGTCCATTGGCTCTCCCAGTACCTGCATAGGAGTGGGCATGATTATATGAAAATGGGAATCGCCCTGATTCAGGTCCAGTTTGTACACCATTTCCTAAAACGACAGTAATAATTCATCACCAGTTCCAGATCCTGACATTTGACACCTGTATAAAGTATCCCGTTTTACACACACACACACACACACACACACAGAGCAGGACAAACACTTAAGACTATTAGACTAGGAAAACACATTTCCGGTGACTGCCTCTTTTTTCCCCCAAAAGTGATAATCTCAAATTTTAAGTAAGCATATGGGATAGCTTTAAAATGTACTTGGTGCTGTTCATCAAGTGGAAGAGAAGAGGGAAGATTAACTTAGGTATCAAAGTCAGAAACCAACACTTACAAAAAGAACAGATGTCCCCTCCCTACACTTAAAATAAGGTAGAGAACTGAAAGCAGGAGTTAAAAGCCCAAGCAGACAACTATTATTGAAACATCAAGAGAGACAGACACAATAAATCATTTTGATTTGTGCAGACATTTTAAGATGTAAAAGTTAATAGGAAAAAAATCTGGCAATCACCCATAAACTAGTCTTGTGATCATTAAAAGAAATAAAATTTCCACCAATCTGATCTCCAAAATACCACTATGCAAGTTCCCCAATGTAAATTTCTATTTGGTTATTTTCAAGACTAAGAATATAATAGTTAACTTTAGTCTTTTTTTCACCCAAATAAACTTTTAAAGGAGAATACTTCATAGTTAAGTTTGAAAAGCTAAGTTATAAACATGAAACAAGTATAACAAAAGAACCAGTTTATGTCAAATGAAGTTACCAGGACCAATGAGTTCTATAAATTCAGTTCTATAAATTCAATGGTAAAAGGGTCTGTTTACATACTTCTGGTAACAGCTTTTTCCTAAAAGTCAAACTCACAAATTAAGTTTTATTCTATGAAATACACATATTCTTCAACCTCACATGTAGAAGACACACAAAGACTTACCTACTGGCCCAAATGTACCTGTACTCATATTACTTGCTGAAGAATTATTTTTTTGTTCACCATGTGCCTTGAGGAAAATGTTAAGAAAAAGATTTAAGTAAATAGCATCAAAGAAAAACTGGATGACCATGAAATGTACCAAAAGCTCACAGAAATGCAAGTTTTTTAGTTTCTATCCATTCCCATTTACTGTTTTTAAAAGTTTGCCCAAGCACAATTCTCAAATCAACAGTACTTCTGCAGAATCTATTCATACAATGAATTCACGTAAACACACATACAATTACTAAATTTCCTCATATCCTTTTCCCACTCCTCAAAATGGCAAATGACATACATACATACATATATATGCATGAAGTTTTTGTGTATGTATGTACTCGAAGACAAATATTTTAAGATTTAAGAATTTCATATTACCTTCTGAAATAATTATAGACACGTTAAGGTGTCAAGAAAACATGGTTGTTAATAATCTATAAAATTGTAGTACGCAGCAAAAAAGCAGTTTGCTCATAAAACTGTTAATTACCACTTTGTTCTGCTGTCCAAGATAGTCTGGGTTAGGTTCACTGAAGTTTGGCACTTCTGAGTATACCATACAAAATCTGAAAATAAAGCAGAAAGTTAGATGGCTGTTGCGATTTAAAAAAAAAAAAGGCAACTGGAGAATTTCTAGATTGAGAAAATCAATTAAATAAGAACTCTTTTCCGATAAGTTTGCTTCCAAATTCAACAGTTAGTATAAACCGTCAAAGATAAGTCAAAATCCTACTCCTTCCCTGCTAGCCACATGTATCCTTACAAGAATAAAAGAAACTCAAACACATTACTGCAAAAGTCACTCCTCCATTATTTACTATTTTAGTTGTATATTTTTATACCTACAATGAACTATTATTCAATATTGAGTATCAGAAACATTAGAACATCCCTGTGGTATTCTTTAGATCAACAGATGATTCTATACTGACCCATACTTTAGTATACAGCATACGCTCAAGAGTTCTCCATTGTGGATGGCTACATCTAGATACAATCCAACCAAACTCTATCTCTAGTCTCCCAATGACAATATTCATAAATGAGGCACCTAATAGGGGTGTAGGCTGCAATTCACATATTCAAGCTTACTCACTCTTAACTTAAACATAGATAATATTGTTACAACCAATCATTTTCTTAGACTAATTTAAAAAAAGAAAAGGAAAAATATATTTGGAACCACCAAAAAGCAGCATACCACCTTGGAAGTCATTTCAGAATTTGAATGGCTTAAGCATTTAATCTCTTTTTGGGTCTTTTATTCCTACCATTCTCAATAGGACTAATTTTAGCTATTCCTAAACAGATGAGATGACCAGTGCCCCTACCTTTGCTTTTATCTCCCTGTAACATTCAACATTAGACATATTAACACACCAAGACAGATAGATGTAAAGAAACCACCTTTTCCCTTGGCCTAAATCACACAAAGTGCTACCAGCTTCTGAACCAAACTGATGGCATTCTCCTTTCATCATTATTGACAGCTTTCCTGAACAAAGCTTATTCTGCTCTCGCTGTGGATTTTTAAATTTTTTTTAAGCTTTTTGTAACATGTGACTTCTTTCAAATGACTTTTCTTTCAAAAATTAGTCTCCAATCTGATGTATGGCCTCAAATTAAATGGTTGTGGGTTTTTTTTTTCTGAGCCCTAATCAAAAGCTGAACGGAATAATTACTTGGGTCACTATATATATCAGACTTGTATTAATACATCCCAATGACTAGGCTAGCATGGAGGCTGGATTACCTTTACACCCCCAGAGAGGATGGTCCCTCCAGGTCAAGGTGGAGATCATTACCAGGGCAGTGTATGGAAGCTCGCATTGCGGCTGCCTGCACCGTACCTAGACTGTGAATAAATAGAGGGCTTCAATTTTTCAGTGCTGCTAGTCCTTTTAACATGAGCACACATTCACCCAAGAACAGAAAAAAAATCAAATTTTAACTTATGCCTATAACTTCTATCTAGATAACTACTGCATGCTTTGTTTTGATTTGTGTTTTAGAAGACAGCAGCTGATATCAGTAAATGCCCATCATGATTCCTGGAAAAATCATGTATCAAAGGCCTACAGGAATGGTCCTTCTGGGGAGAAATTTAGGGAAGAAGTTTCTTACTGTTCTTTGCTAGAATAACTGAGACCAACCATGGAAGAAACAGAAATTCAGTAGGTATACAACTAAAACAAATGAACAGATTTAACATACCATCCATGTTACAGTTAAGCTATCAAATAGCATGAACTCTTCATTTTAATTTAAAAAAAAAAACCCTCCAGATAAGTTGTACTTCATACCTACCATTTATTTTACAAAATGTTAAGTACATCGTAGCTTCCATATTTTAATACTTACTCCCCAATTTTCTGAAGTTCACCTCCTCTTCCTGTGTAAAGAGTCAGACATCCTTTCCACATGGATGCATATCTGAGGAGGACAAACAAGAATCAATTATGTGTGTACCTACATGCATTGCAAAATGTTCCTCTTGAATGTAGTCCAGGAGCTTGACTCCATTATTCTCATGGACATAAGATCTGACCTCAACAATGATTCTTCACTCTAACGGTGCTAATTTCACCACCCATTCATTCATTCCTGTCAATATTTTGCAACTCTTCCTTTCCATGTCTTTAATTTGCCACAAGGGCAAGTCCCCCAGTTAACTTGCCACAAGGGTCAACCCAATGTATTGGATCCCTTTCTTCTCTTGTATTTTCTTCCATCAGGCAGATACTGTTAATTCAGTCAGGGAATATTAGTATCAGCATTCTTGTGCTTAATGCTATACTTCACTCACACTAGCCACATGTCCACATTTTTTCCTCCACATCAGATGAAGGCCTACTATTAGAGTTTAATCAAAGTGCCAAAAAATTGGCAAGATTTGGGGGAAGTTTCACCTGCCTTCCTTCACATAAAATTTTAATCACTAATCTGGATGAGTGGGTGCTCATGCAACCTAGTATGCTAAAAACCAAGCATGACATAAGAAAAAAAAAATCCTACTTAAGTCCAAAATAAATTCTATTTAATATAAAGTTCAGGGCTTTTATACTTTCCATTAGTACCAAAACAATTAAACTATTACTCTACATTAAAGCTAGCACCCTAATAGAGAAACTAATTTGATTTCACCACAGAAAATCTGCCATTCTTAATTTAAAAGCCAAGAAATGAAGCTAGAATTTATCAAAAATGACAGGAAGTTGAAGAACTTATAATTGTTTCATGAAGCAAGAAGACACACATTTTGGCAAAGTAACACTGATGCGCCTAAAAATCAGTAAATATTTTAAGTAGATTATTTAATGTGAATGGCACCACCCAAAGAAGGAAGCATTTTTTTTTTTAACCATATGCAGAAGTGGTTACAGGCGTGTCCCTAAGTTAATCAGTTTCCAAAGAGACCAGTAATCTCCTGGGAACCCAGCGGGGTATCTCCAGGAACTCCCTTTCCTTTCCTTCCAACTGCTGGGGGCTTTCCTCCTCTCCTCCAATTCCCCTTCCCTCCCCACTCATCTTAAGGTGCAACCTGGAGCAGCTGCCTACTATCTTCTCCAAGGCAGGCCTCGAGTAGGCTACAATTAATGGGAGTGAAGAGTGAACCCAACAAAACCAAGTGCTTCACTCCCTCCCAACAACCCCCACCCCCACCCCCTTCTATCACATACCTCCTCTTTCTCTCACCCCACCTCCCACCCTCAAGGCCCAATTCTGCCCAGGTGATGAAATACCCAAAAGACTCGAGGGAGCTGCTGAGCTAGTAAAAAATGCAAATGGTGTTCCCAAGAACCTACCCATTACCATGTAAGTATACCATAGTCTTCCCTCACAGACTCTTAACCAAGATGGGAAGAAAATCTAGTTATAAAGCAATAAACTTTGAAAACCACCTTCCATTGACCAGACACTGGGGTGAGAAACCTTAGTCAAAGAAATGGGATGACAATGGAAAATAAAAGGGATGATAGGGCACTTGGCAAAAGGTCACAGGCCCTGGCACCATCTCCTTACTATCAGCCTGACCTCTAGAAGCCCCGATCCCTACTAGGCAACTATCACAAGAGTGTATCAGAGGGCTCCCTACTCCTACAACCAAGTGATATATGTATGCTTTTTCCCTTTTATTGTTTGTTCGTTGGAGAAGGTGAGGAAGGGGAGAGGATGGGGCATGTGTGACTAGCATCCCAAAATGGGGTCCAGGTAGAAAGGCTTTTTGCATAGAAACGACATTAGAGTAGTTAAAGTTCCACAGTTCTACTCAAATTAACACTATACTGAATGAGTATTATGGATTAAAGGGAATTGGTGGGATGACCTGGGAATCTAGCCACCTAGGGCAACATTCTAGTTCCTGATCACTTACAAAATAACCTTAAGAATAACAGCATGAAAAGCACTTTACATTTTGCAAAGAGCTTTATGTGTGTCAATTCATTTAATCTTCACAATAACTCTGTAAAGCAGATGCTATTATTATCTCCCCCTTTAACAGAACAACTTAAGTTTAAGAGGCTAAGTGACTTGCTAAAGGTCACAGAGCTAGCAATTATTTGAGGATTCAAACTCAAGTCTTCCCAACTCCAATCTGGACATGTGAAGTAACAATCTCCAACAAACTTAATGTGTCTGAGTTATTTCCTTATCTCCCCTGTTGAGAATAACTCTCTAATTCCCCCCTCCCCAAAATTACTTTATTTTGTTATTTTTAGGTTATTTTATATATACCTAGGTATGTCTCCCTCTCCCTTCCTCTTCCTCTTTTTTTTGTCTTTATCACCAAGGCCTACCTACTACAATGCTTGGCATTTACTACTGGGCTTACTGTGGTGACGGCATTTTGAAGGTGTAGTAAGAGCAATATTAAAGACAACATTATTAGCTTGCACATAATGTCTTCTTGCATGAGATCCTATGAAAAGGAATACTAGGAGAGGCAGTGTGGTATAGTAAAAAGAATACTGGCTCTGTATCCATGCAAGAAATTCCATCTCTAGTGGATAGCGCACTGGCCCTGGAGTCAGGAGGACCTGAATTCAAATCTGGGCCTCAGACACATAACACTTACTAGCTGTGTGACCCTGGGCAAGTTACTTTACCCCATTGCCTAGCCCCTCCTCCCAAAAAAAAAATTCCATCTCTTTGGTCCTTATCATCCTCAAAACCACCAAATGAAGGGGATGGAGTTGATTGCCTCTGAGATTCTTTCCAGGCCTCAATAAATGACCTATGAGGTTATGTCCTAGTAGAAGATAATATCAGCCAAGGGAAAACAATTTACAGCTTTTTAATCATAAAAAATCTAAGTTTTAAATACAACAGAAACAAAACTAAAGGTTAGAAGTGTGGCTAATTAGTGCTGCCTAAACTGGAGTTTTGAGTTCAAATCCCTGCTCTCTTACTACCTACATGAACCTGAGCAAGGATTACATACTGGGCCTCAGTATTCTCATTGGTAAAATTCAGGACACTAAAATCCCCAGATTGTAAATTTAAAAACTGAACAAAGAGGCATTTAAGGTCCTACATAAAATTCAATTAAATGTTTTTCTGCACTGAATTTGATCATTAAGCTATTTTAAATTAATTTGTCTAAGGTTTGTCCAGTTTGCATGATTATGGGTGCCAGATAATTTAGGCAGATATTTAAGGAAAATCTATAAAAATAATTTTTTTTAAAAAATCCTTGAGCTTCATTGTGCCCTGCTTTACTGCAACATAAAGTTATACTTGAGAATGTATCAATTTTCTGAGTTTATACTATAACATATTGTAAATGTCAAATTATCTAACCAAAACATCAATTCCTTCCATATAGTACATTTACAGCACCAGGACTGACCTTTAGTTAAATACTATTTTAGCAGTCCTCATCTGTGGAATCCCCTTCTCTACACAAATGGTTGACATTGTGGTCTCCGTTAATACTAACAGTTTATGCTTTGGGATTCCAGCCCCATTCCTAGACTGTTAATTTTCCTTTGGCTGAATTCTTTAATAATAAAGAGTGCTGCCTCAGTCACACACACTATACTGATGTGCAGTAGTTCTAGGTACCAACGTAAAAAGTTTTGGGTTTTTGTTTTTTGTTTCTTTTCGCAAAAGCAAATTGTTATGAAGTGTTACAATTAACACTGGAACAGGAATATGAGTTAAAATACCAAGTATGCTGGGTTTTCTGGGGGAAAGAGTTGCTATGATGTCACAAAAAACAAACTACTCTATGTCTACTATATGTAGAAGTTAGCTTACTTGAAAACCATTTTTGTTATTCCTTACTTTTCTCATCTCTTTAAACTACAGGTATAGAGTAAAGGGCAATGAATTTAGTCAAGGCACCTGGTGGCAGGCTCCTGTCTCTTCTATGGGACTTTAAAAAAACTCACTTCTCTTTCAGTTCTCTCAAAAGTGAGGGAGTTGATCTCTCACTGCTTCCTGCTCTAAGTCCTACATGTCTGCTTCAAAACCCCATTGTGCAAAAGAAAGTTCTACCTTAATTCAGACAAGGGTCTGGTATGGTGGAATAAGATTTGTATGTAGTTAGTTGGAGGGACCTTGGCTCAGACCCTGACTCTGTCCCTTACTCTGTAACCTGGACAAATAACTTAATTTCTGAGACTAGGCTTTCCATCTGTAAAACTGAAGGCAGCAAGCTTATTTTGAACTAGATGACCTGTAAGATGATCAAGGACAGCTGGGTAGTAGTAGAAGATAAGAGTTTTGGACTTGGAATCTGCAAGACCTGAGTTCAAATTTGCATTTGAGTTCAAATGCAGCCTGTGTAATCCTGGGCTATTATTGACCAAATCTCTCTGCCTCAATTTCTTCATCTATAAAATGGGGATAAATAGCACTTTATTCCAAGGATTGTTCGGAGAAGCAAGTGAATATTTGTATAGCATTTTGCAAACCTTAAACAGTATGTAAATGCTAGCTTTTATTATTATTTTTAATAATTATTAAGGTCTCTTCCAACTCTGTAATTCTAAATAAAAGCTATCAACAATTACTACTAAAAGAATCTTTTTTAAAAGCCAAGATTTCAAATACATACCTGAAAGAAGTAAAGTTTGGAAGAAAAATCAGTTATCTAATATTTTTAATCCTAGGTAAAAGCATGGGAATGCTAACATTCTAAATGTTATTTAAGCTTCACCATCCCCACCAAAATAGGAATTACCTCTATGAATTCTTTGAACTGAGTTTTTGCACTATGTAACTACTATGTGTTAAATTTATTTTTGCTTTGCACTCTAAATAGTGCTTAGCACAATAAATCATGCTACTATGCTATTTTCTTACCCAATTTACCTCACCAGAATGTTACATATCATTCTCCCCTAATGAAGATCTCAGCAAGAAAACAAAAAAGTATAGGATTATTACTTAAGTTTACCTAAAAAAGAAAGGCAAGCCATTGTTTCTGACTATCTAAAATATAAATGTCACACTTGCTAAATATATGATTACAGCCTACTTTTGATGTACTAACAAAAAGTCCTCCAATTCAAGTTTGTCCTCTTCCAGGTACCAAGTAAACATACATATACCTGGTAAAATTTTGACAGGTTCTGAATGAGTGGCTCACTCCAGACTCTGATCATATGGACTGGATGTTCATCTATTAAAAAGCCCAATTTACTATGCCACTCCCCGGATACAACCTAAAACTCTCGGCTCATATAGTTTTAGAGGTCAAAATCAACTGCCAACTGAAACCTACTGCTCTAGTGGCAAAGGTGTATTTTTGTTCTTGTCTGGTTGTGAGTGCTTCACAAACTTGGGTGTGGATGTGTGTATGTATGTACTCAGAGGAGCAGCCCACACTCCTCTTTCCGAACACCTACCCTCGGGTTAATCGAATAATATCCCCGGGCTGGATAAGACCTCCGATTTCATCCCACACCGAAATAGTGATGCTTCCCGTCTTATCAGCTACTTTGCACGATCTTACTTCGTGGCCGTCTTTGGTTTTGGTCACTCGTCCTGCGAGAATTTAAAATATCCACAGAGAGGTGGGGGGGGGAAGATTCCAGTCATGTTAGTTTTAAGGAAGAGACCTTCGACAAGGACTCCTCTCGCACTCGGGGAGGGGTTTTTTTTCCTTCCCCCAAAGGAAAGGGAGAAGAGACGACGGGTCACTCCTTCCCTCCCACGGGGGAGAGGAGAACGCTAACGAGTGGCCCGGGAGCAGGTCCACACCTGGGGCTCGGGGAAGCGGCCACGTGCGTAAGGAGGACTCGGGGGGAGGGGCGGGGGGACACGCGTGAAGCACCTCCCCGGGGGGGGGGCGGGGGGGGGGGGGGTGCAGCAGCCTGGGAAAGGAGGGGGTGTTGCTCCAGCGGCGGGGACCCAACTTACCTATCTCCAGGACAATAAAGACGACATTTAAGTTTTTCAGTCCGGGCTTAATATCTTTTATAAAGAAGTGCGGGTCGTTCGCCCCATTCATATTGAGAACGGCTGCAGGTGCGGCGGCGGCGGTAGTGACGGCTGCTGCTACGGCTGTGACCCGGGCAGAGGACAAAGCATCCCACCCCTCGGGGGCACGGGGCGGGGGGATGGCAGACGAGGCTCGACCTTGGGCGGCGGGGAAGCTACAAGAAAACCCCGGTGGGGCGGGGGCGGACGGTGGCGGTCTAATCAATCCCCCCCAGACTGCCCCCTAAGAAAAAAAAAAGGGGATCGAAGCCGCAAGAAAATGGAAGGAGCCACGAAGAGGGGGCACCCCCGACCACAAGGCCCGGCTCGGGGCAACGCACCCCCAGCTACCCACTTAATGGAAGGGAGGAAAAGGAGCGCTCGCTGCAAACGCCCCGCTTTGTAAAAAAGAAAGCCAGGAAGACTCGGCTCCGCGCTGCTCGGCTCACGAGCCGACCTCCAGCCCCTGGCGCGCTCGCTCACACACACACGCGCACACACACACACGCGCCGAGCCGCCGGGCCCGTGTGCGTGCCAAGGGATCCGAGAAGGAGAGACTGGGGGGAGGGTGATGGGGTGGGGTGGCAAGGACTCAGGCAGAGCGAGAGAGAGTACACTGAGCTCCAGCCCCGGGCAGCGACTGACCAATTCTGCCTCCTAGCCGCCGACCCAGGCAGCCAGACCCGACTCGCCCCGCCCCTTGTGATGCACGGGCGTGTCGTCATCACGTCGATACGTCCGCACGGCGGAGGGAGGGGAGAAACCTGGGGGCGAGCCTGGGAGCCTCACCCTCTTGCCTAAATTCTGAAGGTGACACCATGCCCAGTACTGTCTTTTGTCCCTTTTCGCCCTTCCCCCTCCTCCTCCCTCCCTTTCTCCTTCCCCTTCCTTTTCTTCCTCCCCCTCTCTTCCCCCCCTTCCCATACGTCTCCCCTTTACTTTCCCTGTCCTCCTCCTGCCCGGGTCCCTGGTCCTCCACGCCCTCTCCTCCTCCTCGTCCTTCTCCAGTCCTCCTCCTGTCCTCCTTCACCTCCTTCTCCTAGATCCACACCTCCACCCACCCAGGCACCTTCCCAGCCCTTGGAGATTTGGTCCCTGGCGTGGTTGTAGAAGGGACTAGACAAAAGAGATTGAGATGGCATCTGTTGAAAAACAGATAATGAAACTCAAAAGGTTTTGAGCTGGAAATGGCCCTGAGAACCCTTTAACAGGTTTTACGAAAACTCAGGCAGAGAGAGGTGTAAAAGTAACCAAAGTTACACAGTCTCGAAGAAAAACAACCGGGATTCAAAGGCCGGTGCTGTGGCTGTAAATAACATGCTCTTCCCACCACACACACCCTAATTTTAGGTTTTGGAAGGGGAGGGTGGGAGGGAGGGAGTGGCTAGGATGGGAGCTAGGAGGTCCGGGACAGTCTTTTTCAATTTGTATCCTCTGCCCTTAGCATAATGCCTGGCGCCCTAAAAGAAGTTAAATGCTTTTTCATTCATTTATAGAAGGGTAAAAGATCTGGAAGTCTTTACAAATGAAAGAACCTGGATTAAAGTGCTTTATCCAAGATCAGAGGTAGAAAAACCACGATTTCAAACTCAAGTAAGGGTCTGACCATGTCACCCTATCCTCATTTCCATAAACTCCAGTTGCTCCCTGTTAGTTCCAGAATCAAATAAAAATCCTCTGGCCTTTAAAGTTGTTAAATCAGTTCCTTTCCTGCCTTTCAGTCTTCTTTGACTTTACTCCATGTAATATCCAGCAACTCCTCTTGCTGTTCCTCTTACACCACACTCTCACAACTCCCCCCCCCCCCCCCCCCCCCCGCCCGGCTGACCCTCAAGTCTAGAATTCTCTCCCTCCTCACAACTCCACCTTCTAGCTTCCCTGGCTTCTTTCAAGACCCTCTCAATTCTCACCTACTGTTAGAGCTCTTCCAGGTTCTCCCCACTGCTAGTGACTTCCCTCTGGAGAGACTCTCATTTACACTTGTATGTCTATTGTTTGCTCCCGGTCTCCCTCTTTAGAATTTGAAGGGATTGTCTTTGCCTCTCTTAATAGCCCCAGAGCTTTGGTGGGGATGAGGACGATAATAATGATTCCCTAGGCCTGTGCCTCTATATCTATGTAGGAAATAGAGAAAATGAGAAGTTATAAAATTTCTTCAGGGAATTCTTTTATCTAGCGGGAATACAGTGACTCAGTAGCAGTAGCTAGGCCTAGAAATTTATCATCTTTTGACAAAAAGGCTTTCACACTTAGGTAGGCTGGTCCAAGGAAGGCTGGTTCACAGATAAGTCCTCTGGCCAGCACTCAATTTCATAGGTTGGGAAGATCTGTCAGCTCTAGTACTTTACATAGCTTTGTAGAACCCAGGGTTAACCCAATGCCTTCCTTGCCGGATAGCCAAGAGAGAAAACAGAATTTTATTCTATTGTGGAATCTCTGTTAGTGGAGAGCTAATATACATACTCTTTAAAAGAAAATTTTAGTTGCAAGTAAGAAAGTACAGAGATTTTCCATCTACACATTGCATACATTTTTATACTATTCCAGAGGCTGACCACTACCACCAGCATGAATGCCAATGAAGGAATGATAACAAATAGTTCAGTTACCTGCTAGTAAATGTTTAACAATGGACTCTCAGAAAACAAGACACACTTTAAACTTTAATCTGCATTATTAACATTTTCTCCAACACTTTCTTAAGTCTAGACAATCAACAAAACAATAAATCACACCCTGATTTGCAACTTTCGCCAGTTTCCAGTGGGGAAATGCTTACATTTTGATCCCATTACAGCTGGTTCCAGCACACCCCTGAGGCAACTGAGGGAAGCATTCCATTGCTTTCCACGTTGTACATTATGTTTTGCTCTTCTCTCTTCTTTCTACTTTTCCTCTGACTCTCTTTAGATCACTGGGCTAGGGGTAAGGAAAACCTTGGTTTCAAAATCCTATTCTCTCTGACATTTAACTGGCTGTGTGACCTTGGGTAAGATACAACTTCTGTGAGTCTCAATTTGTTTATGTGTAAAATGGGATAATAATATGTGTAGTAGAGGGTCATTGTGAGGTTCGAATGATAAAATAATTTTAAGGCACTCTGCAAACCTTAAAATGCTGTATAAATTTAAGTGTTTATGATTCTTTCTCTCTCCTGTGACTTAGCCCAACCAATGGAATCAGTGTGTTGCATGGCCCTCATAGGGAGATGGTTAAAAGGTTGTTGACCCCATAAAACTATGTATCTACTTTTCCCACTATAATTGCTTCATATTTGTAATTCTGATCTCCATAGTTACATCATGGGGCTCACTGATGGTGCTAGACTCATAGTTAATGCGTAATAATAAATGCATGCATAATAAATCACCACTACTAAATAAAGTGCAAAGTGCATGACCTACTGATAGTGAATTAGTAACCAAAGTTTCCTATTAGACACTGAACACTATAAAGTAGAGAAAGGACACCTCTAGGTCTTCCACTTAATTTCATACAGCTGAAGGAATTATATTGCCTCTCTCTCTCTCTCTCTCTTTTTCACACACACACACACACACACACACACACAGAGAAAATCACTCCATTAGTGAGTTATTCTGTAGAGGTAAGGCTCTGGACTTGGGATCTGATTTGTTTTTGAATCCCAGCTCTGTGTGACCCTTACTAATTCTGGGACGGTGAGCAACTCACTTAACCTGTGTGACTCTCCTGTTTCTTCCCTCATCTCTTAGGTGGGGGTAATAGCACTTCCAATACCTACCTCACAGGGTTATTATGAGGGGTGTTATATTAATGTGAGTTGCTGTTATTACCTTGTTCAGAGGAGACCTTCTGGAGGTTTAAGAATAAAGAATGATGACCTGTGAACCATGGGTTAATCAACTAAATGATAAGAAATTATCACTTTAATTAATCAACTGATTCATAATAGGTTATCACTTATTCTAGAGTCCAAGGCTCCAGTGAATTGTTGAAGAATGACTAAAGCAGATTACTTTTTAACACTTGCCCTAGAACCGTACTGAGCCTTCAGCTTCTCTCTCACCAGCCCATTTCCTTCTTTCCTATCTCCAATTGTATCTCCCATCTATGTTTCTCTTCCTATCTTCCCCAGGTGTATGACTAACCACCTTTGTTTATGCCCTTTGGGCTCCTCCCTACTTCTGTATGTGGCTGTCTTCCTCCTCTTCTATCTTCCAATTCTCCCCCTTCTTTCCTTTTCCCTTAATACTTTCTTTTCCTCTCCTTCTTTCCATCTCCACATGCCTCTAAATTCTATCACTCCCTTAATTGAAACCATATCCAATGTAGAAGATTTATTCTCTCTTAGGACTGGTTGTCATTGTTAAATAAAGTTTGGTGTTTCACTTTTTAATTTAAATGTAAGTGAATTTCTGCCTTGAAGAGTCAGGCAACCAGAATGAGGAAGGGCAATGAATTTTGGCCTAATGAGAAATAGTTGAAGGAAATGGGAATGTTTAGCCTGGAGAAAAAGAAACTGCTTTCAGTAGCTGAAATGCAGTCACATGGAAGAGCATTTCAGCTTATTCTGTTTGGCCCCTAAGGATAAACCTAGGTGCAATGGATTGAAGTTGAAAAAATGGTAAATTTTGGAATTAATTACATGCTAGGTTTAAAGAGAAGATGGTCTAGTCACCTGAAGAGGTCAATAGTTTGACAGTGAGAGTACTCCATTGATATTGTCTGAATTCAGATCAGGAAGGCCTCCAGCATCTTGGGGAGACCCTCACTGTGAACAGTCAAGAATTGCACAGGATGGCTAGACATAAATGTGTTATGACCCACCTCACTGGAGGGCACTGCCAAGTTTATGAGCTTACGGAAAAACTTCCTAGCAAGCAGAGATATTCAAAAGTGGAATGGGAGGGCTTAGGGAGAGGAGTGCATCCTCTCTTCCTCAACTCCCTATATAGAAGGTCTTCAAGCAAAAAGCTGGATGACCACTTGTCAAGGATATTATAGAGAATATTCTTGTTTAGTTTGGGAAAGAAGCCCTCTAAGGTCCCTTCCAAATCTAATTCTGTGATTCT